TTCTCTTATTTTTGGGGTTTTTAGTTAATTTTTGTTCGTTGTCCATTATTTGCTGTAGAATTTCATTTTTCCCTTTTTCTCTCTTTTTATTCTTAATTGCACTCTGTTGAATGAAGAAACCCCTCATCACCGCCTTACCTGCATCCCACACCACCTTTGGTTTTGTATCATTACCTAAGTTATCCTCGAAGTATTCCTTTAACCTTTTCTGAGCTTTCTACTATCTCTAAATCATCTAACAAGTAATCTTTCATTTTCCATCTGTATGATCTTTCTTCCAGCCCTTTCAGTTCCATTTTTACTGGGTTATGATCCGAAATCGTTTTGGCCTGGATCCCCACCCGTATAGATCTTGGTACTAGTTCTGCCGAGGTCCATATCTGATCTAATCTCGAGGATGAGTCATTGGGTTCTGAGTAGAAAGTATATTGTTTTTCCAGAGGGTATTTAAATCTCCAAATATCCACCAAATTACAGTTCTGAACCAATGAGAAGAAGGTTCTGGGTAGCTTTCCTTCTTTGCCCCTTCCATCCCTTAACCTGTCCATCTCTAACGACACCACACCATTCATATCTCCCAATAGTATTATTTTCTGATCGACGTATTCAAATAGCTTTCCCTCTAACATCCAATAAAACTCCGATTTGTTATCATTAGGTGCGTATATCCCCACTATTATTAGGTTTTCTCCTTGCCAATTAATTTGAACCGCTACTACCCTCCCTTCTTCATCTTTGAAAATCTGCTGTGCTTCAATTTGTTTTTGGTATAAATAACCACCCCCCTTTTTTTACTTTGATCTGACGATACAAATTCATTTCCTAATCTTTTATTAATCAAAACTCTTTTATGCTTCCTTGCTATGTGGGTCTCCTGTAAGCAGATAATATCTAAACATTCTTTCTTTAAGATGTACTCGATTTTATTCCTCTTTTTCTTATCATTCATCCCATTAACATTCCAGCTCCAAACTTTTAACACCATGGTAGTTTACCTTTGCAAGAAACTGCTATCTCTCTTTAAACTCTTTCCGCTCCCCCCTCCTCCTCTTCCTCTTCCTCTCCCTCTGTCCTCTCTGTTTCTTCTTCTGAGTCTTTCCTTCCTTCTGCCTCCTCACTTTTATCTTCTTCTTTTTGTATTTTCAGTTCTTTATATTTTCTTAAAAATTTACCGGTTTCTTCTGGACTTGTCAATTTTTGCCTCTTGCTCTTGTAAGTGAAGGAAATTCCTTCAGGGAACTCCCATTTAAACTCAATATTATTCCTTTTCAGAGTCTGTACCAGTTCTTTATATGAGTCTCTGCGTTTTAGCAGCCTAACTGGGATATCTTTGAAAATTATTACGTAATTTCCCTCAATATTCAGCCTTTCCCTCTGTTTTTTGGAGAATCATATTCCTCATTTCCTTTCTTTAAATGTAACTAAACAATCTCCTACAAATTTTTATTTCTGGCTGATTTGGCTTTCAGTCTAAATGCAGATTGTACTGCGTTTGCCATCTCTTCTATTGGAATCTCCAACCAGAGGGCTAATTCTGTTATTAATTTCTCTTTTATATTTTCACCTTGTAATTCTGGCACGGCTCTTAATCTTAAATTAACTTCCCTCTGTCTTAGTTCATTCATAGCAATTAAGTCTTTCATTTCCTCTTGGTTTTTGTTCAACTCCAAAATCTCAGCTTTTATCTTATCCTCCTCTCGTCTCACATCTTTCATTTCTGATCTTGTCTTTTCAGCCCTTCCTCCACTGCCTGTGTCCTCCTAAATACCTCTTTCAGTTGACCCTTCAATTCGTTAACTGTTTCATCTATCTTTTTGTCCATTTTCCCAATTCTATTGTCTACTTGTTCTAATTTGAGCTCTAAATTTTTCTCACTTTGTTTTATCTCCGCAAACATTCTTAAAATATCTGCTCTAAAGTCTGCTTCTTGTTTGGATCCCTTTCTATCCACTGGTGTTCCCCCTTCTGGTCTTTTCCCATATTTGACATTCTTACTTGATTGGGTACAACAGATACTCAGTAAAATAGAGGATCTTAGTTTCTAACACCCGTTGAGCAATACCGTTTGGCCCTTCTGGC